ATAAATGTTAATTAATTAAACATTTTGAAACCTTTTTTTCGTCTTCAATAAAAGCCAGCATGAAATAATGTCATTGAACAACACCATCAAATACTGCTTCATAAAAACATAGTCAATAGAAGTTATACCTGGTCGAGAAATCTCGTGTAATTGAAGCTGATTTTTAAGCGAAACTTAAACACTAAAAAATATCAGTCACGTGATCAAAGTAAGTGCAAACTTTAATTTAAAATGGCTGAAAGTGATATATATTTTTGTAGTGAAGATTTAGATTTTATGTTTTTGGACATAGATCAGGATCTTTTGGATAATGAAATAGAAGTAGATCTAAATGGAGCATTAGACGAGGCAAGTAAAAATTCATATTTTATATTTATACATTGTACATATTTTAGTGTAATTAAGGTTTATTCAGACTGGACTGATCCAGTCAGCAGCTTGTACATGTGTGTAAATAAAACAGTATATTTATTTATATTTTTAGCACGCTAATTTTTTTGTAGTTATGATTTATTTTTATTTTTAAAAATTTTCATGTAATGGTTATTCTTAGGTGACTACATCTGCTGCATTCTCATGTCAAAAGTGCAAAAAGTGTTACAAGACAAAGGGTGGGTTAACAAGACATATCCGAACAAAACATTCTGATGGAAAACCTGATACTATCGAAGCAGGAAATTTCTTATCAGTTGAGACAATAAAAACATTAATTAATGAAGCTATAAATACTTTGCTAAGTGAAAAATACTACCCAGACATAATATTAAATAAAATATCTCAATATATCAATGTAATAAACGATCTATTATACCAACAGTGCAACAAAATTTACAAAAAGTTAGTGAAGACAGGAAATGGTGAAAATTTTTACATGGAAACATATTCTTCACTTGTATTAGAGTCTGATAAATATTTTAATGATCTTGAAAAACCTTGCAGTACGCTTATATCAACAGCGTTAACTGATAAAATTTTGTATTATTACAAAACATCTTTTTCAGAGAATAAATCAATTGAACTGAAACCTATATCTGCAAAGGAATTAGATGGTCTACAATACTTGGCTGGCTACGTTTTGTCAAAATTTTTAAAGAAAGCTAAAAACAGTAAACACTATCAATCTGAAGAAACCCAAGCAATTATTTCTATTTTAAACCACTGTGTTCTTGAAAAAAATTTGTCACATGGACAAAGACTTATTGATGTTCAAAACAGAGGTGGACTGATCTCACTGACAGAAGAGTGTCAGCAATTATTTATTCTAACAGAAATAAAATTTCGGTCTGAAACTCTAAATTCAATGTTGAGAAAAGTTGACATTGCAAATATGGCATCTGAGCTAATCACAAAAACAACTGCGCAAAGTTTTTATAACGCTATTGTTGAGAACTCCTGCCAACTTAAAATTGATAAAGAAGTTAAAACAAATCTTTTAGAGAGTATGGTAAAATTATACTTAAGAGTAAGATCATTTTCGATGGCTAAAGATGTTGTTCAAAGACAAAAAGCTATGTCGAAAAAAACTAAATCAAAAGGTGGGCTTCGATCAAACATTAAAAAAGGATCTGATAAGTCTACAATAAAGAAATAGTGAGCAGGGGTGGATATAGGATACAGGTAAGCCAACACCTCTGGCACAGTGTCAGCTTACCTGTAAGTTGCTTTATGTATATTTGTGTTCTGTGTAGACCTCTGGCGCGGTGTTGATTCACTCGTAAGTTGATTTTTTTATGTTTGTGTTCTGTGTAGACCTCTGGCGCAGTGTTAATTCACTCGTAAGTCGATTTTTTTATGTTTGTGTTCTGTGTAGACCTCTGGCGCGGTGTTGATTCACTCGTAAGTCGATTTTTTTATGTTTGTGTTCTGTGTAGACCTCTGGCGCGGTGTTGATTCACTCGTAAGTCGATTTTTTATGTTTGTGTTCTGTGTAGACCTCTGGCGCGGTGTTGATTCACTCGTAAGTCGATTTTTTTTATGTTTGTGTTCTGTGTAGACCTCTGGCACGGTGTTGGCTTACCTGTAAGTCGCTTTATATTTGCTATGTTATTGTTGTGTTATCATTGTTATGTTATTGTTGTGTCTGTTTTTGTTTTGTTTGAACCTCTGATGCAGTGTTGCTTTACTCATAAGTTGTTTTATGTTTGTTTGTGTTCTGTTTTAAGCTCTGGCACTGTGTTGGCTCATCCGTAAGTTGTTATATGTATATTTCCTGTGTTATTGTTGTGTGTAATCATTGTTATGTTATTGTTGTAGTGTTTCGTGTTGATAAACAACTTGGCTACCTTCACGTTAGTGTCTATTGTTAAAAATGATTATTAGGTAGTTTCATTACTGAAACTCTACTTCTAATCATTCACTAAAAGCCAAGAATCAAGTTTTATAAATAAAATGTATATTTTGATGTTGTTGTCATTTTTTATTTTTAGTGCTGTTAATACTTCACAACAACATTCTCACAAGTTAGGTTTATTATTTATTATTCATTTAGTCAGGTGTTTTAATTTTTAACATAAATTAAAAAACATATTTATGTGCAATCTGTGTTTTCAATAAATAGTTTATTCCATTGTTTAGGGAGAGTTTCAGTTGTTATAACTGATTTTGGAGAGTTCTAGAAGTTGAGTAATCTTATACTCTAAGCATTTTCTAAAAGCCAAGACGGAATGTCGTTAATTTTCATACCAGTTACTAAAAGCTATATAAATATTGTTACAATTTTATAATTCAAATGAGTAATTTCGAAATTTTTTCACTGTACTGATTTATATGTAATATTATATATTAATAAATCAATGAAGTTATGATTTTTTCGTAAAGTTATTTCTACGCATTTGTCCGATAAAAACAAGTTTTCCTAATGAAAAAAGCATCTAGAAATTTTTATTTACAGAAATTTTATAAAATAAAATAATTTTCTTATGCAAACATAACCCGTACAAAAATTTAGACAAATTTAAAAAAAAAAAAAAAAAAAAAGAAAATCACTAGCTACAAGTTAAATTAGATGGAAAAAATGGGATGCTGTATTTCAGATTTTTTTTAATATATTATTTACATAACCACTTATTTTTATAATTTAATTTTCATTAAGAAAATAATAGTATGGAAAACCGTCCGAACCACATAAGTCTGAAAACAATGACATAAAATGTGTGTGTTTTTTTTTAGGGTAGATATAAAAGCAACATTGAATAGTGATTTTGTAATCACCCTAATATATGTGAACAATTATATAAACAAATTTCACGGTTGTTCACATAGTAAAACTAGATTTTAAGAAAATCTTGTACAAAAAATTTTTTAACAGGTGCCTAAAGACTCATCATTATTTAACAGGTCACTAATATTTTTGAAAATAATATTATTGATCATACAAAAATTCTATGAGCACAAAGTTTGTTATTTATGAACACAAAGCTGTTAAATATTACTTTATTCCGACTCACGATCAATAGTTAGAGGTTTACTTATGGAATAAAGTAGCAATGTTGCAACACAACCTATTAGAAAAAATTAGTTCATTTTCAAAACTATTTTTATCCTTAATAAAATGAGAAAAACTAGTATAAAAAATGAAAACGATGTTTTATTAGCTTACAACATACATTCATTGTGATGGTGAGGCGCGGAAGAAGATATAGAGTTGTATTATAATTACTCAATGGATAAAAGTAGTATCATAAAATCCAATTAATACATAATTTTTGAATGTTGTACAATATATAGATATATAAAGTATATATAAAAAATATATACTTTATATATATATAGATATATAAAATATATATATATATATATATATTTATTTATATATGAATTTTATTAATTTTATTATTATTAGGAACAGTTTTCACGAAAAACCATATGATTAAAAAAAACCAGTCTGATTTGGATTCTTTTTCAATATTCATGCATATTGCAATATTTATGCATAATTTATATATATATATATATATATATATATATATATATATATATATATATATATATATATAAATTATGCATAAATATTGCAATATGCATGAATATTGAAAAAGAATCCAAATCAGACTGGTTTTTTTTAATCATATGGTTTTTCGTGAAAACTGTTCCTAATAATAATAAAATTAATAAAATTCAAAGCTACTATACAGAGAGAAATGGTAGGGGGGGGGGGCAGTTAGACAATATTGTCACAGGACCCGAAGGGTTTAGGGACCCCAAATACTATTTAAGGGCCATTTTTTAAAATTTTAAGAAAGTGGCTGTTTCAAAGATTATTTTTGAAAGAAAAATTGCTGTTCCTAAGAAAATGGTAACAGAAATAAAATTTGCCCTAAGCCCCAACCAACCTCGGAGCGACTTCAATAAAAAGTTTTTATGGATTATTTTCTTTAAGAAAAATTGTTTTTTATTTGACGAACTTGTTAACTCACTATAAAAAAATCACCACTTCATTTTTGATTTAATAATATATATTATAAATATAAAATAGTATAACAGTACAATAGTATACAGTATAATAATAAAATTATAAAAAATACTATGACAATTTCGATAACTTGTCACAATATTTATATAGCTTTTAGTGAATGGTACAAAAATTAACAATATTCCTGTCTTGGCTTTTAAAAAATCGTAAAAATATTAGATTTCTAAACTTCTGTTCTACAAGAACTCTCCAAAATCAGTTATAGCAACAGAAACTCTCCCTAAAAAATGGAATGAACTATTATTGAAAACACAGATTGCACATAAATATGTTTTTTAATTCATGTTAAAAATTAAAACACCTGACTAAATGAATAATAAATAATAAACCTAACTTGTGAGAATGTTGTTGTGAAGTATTAACAGCACTAAAATTAAAAAATGACAACAACATCAAAATATACATTTTATTTATAAAACTTGATTCTTGGCTTTTAGTGAATGATTAGAAGTAGAGTTTCAGTAATGAAACTACCTAATAATCATTTTTAACAATAGACACTAACGTGAAGGTAGCCAAGTTGTCTATCAACACAAAACACCACAACAATAACATAACAATGATTACACACAACAATAACACAGGAAATATACATATAACAACTTACGGATGAGCCAACACGGTGCCAGAGCTTAAAACAGAACACAAACAAACATAAAACAACTTATGAGTAAAGCAACACTGCATCAGAGGTTCAAACAAAACAAAAACAGACACAACAATAACATAACAATGATAACACAACAATAACATAGCAAATATAAAGCGACTTACAGGTGAGCCAACACCGTGCCAGAGGTCTACACAGAACACAAACATAAAAAAAATCGACTTACGAGTGAATCAACACCGCACCAGAGGTCTACACAGAACACAAACATAAAAAAATTGACTTACGAGTGAATCAACACCGCGTCAGAGATCTACACAGAACACAAATATACATAAAACAACTTACATTTGAGCTAACACCATGCCAGAGGTACAAACAGAACATAAATATACATACCTCTATCCTATGAGCGAGTAAAAACACAAAAGATTGTAAATTACTTCTTTGTAGATCGTTTTTTTAAAGGAGCATTATCAACAAATTTCCAAGAAACTCTACGTTTTTGCTTAAAACTTCCTTATGTATTTCCTGTAACTGGTGCAATAGAACGTTGCATACGCAAGGTGTTGGATTGATAGCCAAACTGAATTAAAGTTGGATTATCATTTCATCTTCCAAGACTACGATGTCTTCTAAAATACTCTTCTAATACATCTTGATTGAAGCGCTCTGACAATATAAATGGCATTCCTTCACTTAACAGAAAACGTGTTGATTTCACAAAAGAGTGTACCGTTATAAGTAAACCCTCATACGTTTGCCAGGAAATAAAAATGCGATCACGAGCATTGCGTGTAAAATTTCCTTTACGATTTTTGATAGATTCTTTCCAACTTGAAAAATAGTTTAAAAAATCATTCAATAACCAATCAAATCGAGAGTCATTCAAATCACGATAAGGTTCTAAGTCTGATTTCTTTTTAAATAAACTTTCACTTTGGTTTCTTACATTTAAACAGTCAAAGAATCTATCCATAAGTGAACAAAGTTCAGCTGTAACATGTGTTTCAGGAGGATAGTATCGATAAAGAATATTTGCAACACTTGCACTTAAAACTTGAGTGGCATATCGCACATTCATTACAGAATATGCAGTTAAATGAACATGTTCATAACTAAGTTTTGGTAAAACCTTAAGACTGTTATTTAGTTCATCTTGTACTATTTTAACGATATGGGACCAAAAAATACTCTGATCACGGTTCCAAAGATTACGGGTACATTTACCCTCACCAGAGTGATACATGCAGTTTCTAAATGTTTTCATTAGATGTGGAACATCTGCAAAAAAATATATAAAACTATCAGGTGCATATAAATTAATAGTGCGATACACAACATCTGAGTCATCTAGATTGTCTAATCCACTATGCATTTTATAAAATGATCGATTTGGTGAGGCACCATCTGAAACTGCAACAATTACTTTCAAGTTACAACAAAGTTCTAATATAGAGACAGCTTTCCAAAATGTTGGCATTATTTGCATAGCTGTTACACCATTAGTAGCAAAATATGCAAGACAAAATTTGAGATCGCATGCAATTCCATGTATATAATATACTAGACAGTGACTGGCTAAATCATTTACATCAGTAAAAGTCGAAAAGTTTATTTCAGGGTCTCCAAGATCAACGTATCCAACGAGCTCACCTGATGACTTGTCAAATACTAAATTGTCTTGAATGCGTATTTCATCAAAAGAAAGTACAACATTTCGCTGAATATCAGAGAGGTCTTTTGTATTTTCTTTTAATTCAGCAATCACTGCTGGGTTAAATCCTACAGATGGTCGAATAGCATTCTTATAACCGCGTAGTGTCCGCCTACTTGGAAGTGTTAAAATTTTAGCATCTCTAAGTTCATCATATGCTGAGGCTGATTTAGATGCAAGAGAAAGACAAAATCGAATTATCATTGGATGATATCTAGGAACTTTGCTAGTTAATAAACGATTCTGTTCTTCCCAAAAAAGTTTCATAAATGGTGTCATGTTTTTTTGGTTTTTACTAATTATAATATCAAGATCAGAACTTAAACAAGTGCTGACTTGAATACCTTTAGCCTGTATTTCCTTTTGCATTCTTTCAATATTCTGCAAAAGTTTTTTATTTTTAGAACGCTTTTCAACGAGTGCTAACTTTACACGATTTGGATGTGTGACAGATAATGGGGCATTCAAATGAGCTGGTTGATCAATTTTTTTTGAAGTACTAACTTTACATTTAATAAAATTAATTTCAAAATTTAAACATTTTACACACTTTTCACAATCAGAGCCAATAACAAAACAATCTTTGTGACGTTTATATTGACTAGCTTTAAATGGTACTTTTTTCTCATTGTTAAGGTCAAATTTATGAGGAATAGAATGATTTATTAGATTTCCATCTTTATCGCAATCTACCAAGTCATATGTTATGCCAGTACACATCTGTAAAGATTGAACTTTATTTAACAATTTTGATATTTTAACATGACGAACTGATCGTAAAAATTCTTTATACAAGTGATGGTCATCAGGCAATGTCCATCCATAAACAATAACAAAAAATTCTAGACTACATCCAACAACAACTTCTAAATGTGGTACTAACGTAAAAGTTTGAAAAGATTTAAATGAAATAAAGTTTTTATCATATGATATAAACCAATTGAGTTTAAGCTTCTTTACTATGTTAGTAAGTTCACTAAAGTTTTTGTATTTGTCTGTATGTTTTTCTTCTGTAGTCAAAATATCTTTAACAATAGATTTATGCCTTCTTTCAGGAGCTTTAACAGTTTCATGAGATTTCTTAGGAATGTTGAGCAATGGTATTGCCCCAAGCTTTAACATTTTTCGACCAGTTTCTATAGTATAAAAACAATAACATAATCAGACATAAATAAAACAAGACTTATTCTACTGCAACAAAAAAAATGATTTTGTTTTGGTTTTTTAAAAATTTAAAAAAGATCTGAAATAAGTTTTAACAGGCATAAGTTAAATGAGGAGTTAAAAGATTTTAAATAAGATAAGAATATTTTAAATAATAATATTTTAACATTTAAAAAAAAGAAAATAACTCAGAAAATAACTTACTTGTAAACTCAATATCTGTTGGCTCAAAATGAAGTTCACAAAGAAAGATATTTCCATTTGCAATGCGCTCTTTGAGATGCTTGTCAAAATGTCTACATTTTGACAAAATGTTTAGTATATTTTTTCTCCATTGTTGATGAAAATCATCTGGCCGATTTGGAAGTTGAAATATTCCAATACCTTGGTGTTTAGAGTTTCTTGTAATTCCACATTCAGAAAAAGCACAATTTGCTCCAGGCATTTTTAACTCAAAAAAGTTATAAAATAATTTTAACTTAATTATTTAAACAGCTTGAACAAAATTAATATTAAAATTAATTGAATGGCAAGCTTTTAGAATTAAGAGAAGTGAATAAAACTGAGGACTTTCTTCAATCGGTAAATTTTTTTTTGCACTTACTTTGATCACGTGATTACTATATTTTTAAACAATAAGACCGTTTTGTCGAAATACTTTATTTCCCGACCAGGTATAACTTCTATTGACTATGATCAAAACAGCAACTGCAGTTTGCCAAAAACAGGTTAATTGTTTTTCTGTTTTAAAAATGTTTTTCTTTTTTTTTATCATATTTACTTATCTATTATATTTTTCTTTTAGACACCATGTGACGTATTTATGTAATACAGGAGAACACAAATAATAATTATGTTTTATTATTAAATAATAAAGTTTTGTTAAAAAAAATATTTATTTTTAAATAAATTTGTGATTTTGTAATAAACCGAAGGGTCGGATTTTAGAAGCATGAAATATTTGAAAATTTCTGTTTGAAATGCATTTTTCATCTATGACGGAGAGACCTTCATGTAATTAACTTAAATTTAATTATGCGCACATTAAACGCTTTTAAGTTAAATAGAACTTTTTTTCCCTTAATAAAGGAGAGGGGGTTACCAAAAAATTAATAAGTGTCCCGTTAGACATTAGAAGTTAACATTTATATAAGTATTATAATAAAATTTTTTAACTGCTCCAAAAAATTTAAAGATGTTAAGGAAAATTTCAACTAAATGATAAAAAAACGCCTTCACTCTAAAACAAATAATATATCAAAAAAAAAAAAAAAAATTTTTGTCATATTTAACAGTAACTCCCTTATGTTAATTTTTGTGTCTTCTTTTTAACACGGTGCCTTGGACTGTCTTAGTCCCACTTAAATAAGAATTAATAAAGCGAGATAAAACCTGAATAAGTACGGAGCTCTTGCATACTTCTTAACACTATTGATAATGACCAAATTTAACAAATTTATCTGTAAAATTATTTACAGATAAATTTGTATTTAGATATATTTTTTTAGATAACGTAGTAAGTTATGTTGTTACTAATAGTTTAGTTATTTTTAACCCGTATTACGGGTTGCTTACTGCTAGTATTTATTAATAGTGATAGATTAATAAAAAAGTTAAAAGCTTATAAATTCCGCAATGTTCAAAAATATTTGCAAATAAAAGTTTTAGACAAAAACCAGTCTTAAATTGCAGTGATTTTACCCATTGCAGCCTTATGTTGCAGTGATTCTACCCATTTTAGCCTTAAGTTATGTGGTAACATTTAGTTTTTTAGTAAACCCAAAAGGGATTACAACATTTGGCATGCCCAATCAGCCTAAAACTCATACAAAAAAGGAGTTAATGCTGTTAAAGTGTCAAGTTTACTAGTATATATAATGTTTATATACAGTAAAGCAACAAACTTTTGAAGCAGATAAATTTGTAACTTGCTCACTGAAAAGAAAGAACGCACAATTTATGTAAACTTTTGTTTTTGTGTTGAATCTTTGATACAAACACAAAAACAAAGGTTTACAGAATCATAATTATTAAACTGTCTTCTAACTCTTATGTCTGAAAAAAATTTAAGTTAACATTTAATATTAATGTGAATATGTTTTAAAAAAATGCCAAACTTAAAAAATCCAAAAAAAAATTTTATAAAAAAAAACAATATCGACACTGAAATAAAAGAACAGACAAATATTATTCTTATTTTTTAATGCAAAACAAGTTGCAAAACACTAGCAACTAATCTTCAAGCAACCACTACTAATGTTGGGAGTAAACAAAAAACAAAGAAGGAAGCTAAAGAGCAAAAAGGTGACAGAAGATTTAAAAACTGTAAATTTTATGAGTCAGGAAAACATGAAGACAAACTGATATTTGCTTTAAAAAGCTAAATAAAATTTTCTTTCGAGCATAAAGAATGAAAATTTTTTTTGAGCATAAAGAATGCAGTAAAAGAATGCTAAATGATGAGTCATGCAAGATTAAGTTTTGGTTGATGATACCTTTTTTGAGCAGCTACCATATTAATTTGCAATTTATAGAAAAAAGGGTTGTACATAAGATTTCCATTAGAGGTAAAAAAACAACAACAACTAAAACATGTCACTCAAACTTTTTGTAAACTTTGTGTAAAATAAAATAAAAATTTGATTAAAAAGTTTGTTATTTTTGTTTAGTGTTTTCAAAGTTCATGTAGTGAAATTCTTTTATATTTTATAACTTCGAAAAATCTTTAACAACAACAGCAGAAAAATGTTAGGCTGTAATTTAATAATTGCTAAAACCCATCCAGCATGGGTGAAAAGAGTTTCATGGATATAACTTAATAGAGCATTGTTATTCACTAAAAAACAAAAAATCTTTTTTTCATCAAGCTTATTATCATTTTATACTTAGGCAAACTTACGAGGAAGTCTTTTTGTTTTTATTTGTAAATCACGAGAAGCCATCGATACAAAGACTTTTATAAAAAAAGGCTGAAAAATTTAAATTGGTCTTGAATAGATTTGTAAGATGAAATTTGCCAGAAATAAGATTATACTGAAAGAAATTGAACTTTTTTTAACTTTATTTTAGTTTACCCGATGTGCTAAATTTGTGATGAACTCCATTTTCCTTAACTTTCGTGGTCTTAATATTTTTGCTCTGCACTCTAACAAACTAACTAATAATAATTCATTGATAAAATCAAATAACAAGTTATTTGATTTTATCATTTTATTTGTACCTTGCAAAAAAACTGCTGGTTCTTTTTCTTTTTAATAACATCAGAGAAGTTTATAACATCAAATATTTCAACTGTTGTTTTATCTCATATAAATTTTTGTTATTCAAGATGTATTTTATCTATTCATTCATTTCTTTATTTTATATATTCAACATTTATTTATATACTCATTTACTATTTGTATATTCAAAAATTATTTATATACTTATTCATTTATTTATCTTAAATAATCAACATTTATATAACTATTTGATTTTTAACTAGTAACTTAAAATTAAAAAAAACTATGATGAGCTAAAATAAAAAAAAAGCGTAGAATGAACTATAATAAAAAAAAGTATTAAATAGTAAACTAAATAAAAATTATAATAATTAAAATAAAAATAATAATTAAAAGTACTAAGTGCAATAAGAAATTTTTGAAATAAAAATACATTAAAAATATTTAATCCAAATCATAATAACATAGCAAACCTGATGAACAGCTTCCTTGTTTAACTTTCTTTAAAAAATCACTTTGAACTAATTTATTGAAATCTTCTACCAAAAAAACATTTTCTTGATTACCAACAATTTTTATAAGTTCATCTTTATTAACATTTGATCCTATTCCTATGGCAAATAGCTGAATAATTTTCTGTTTTATTTCATTGGGAACTGGTATTTCCATTTTTGGTTCTTGTACACCATCTGTTAATAAAAATAAAAGCTTGGGGGCCTCATTTCTGGAACCTTTTTTGGTATCAAACAATTCTATTGCTTTTTCTAAAGCTAAATCAATACGAGTACCACCACCCATATATGGTATATCATCAACAGCTTTATTAAAGTCAGCATCAGTAAAGTATTTATCTAACTGAATACTTAATTTGGCCTCACTACTAAATGTAACTACACCAGCATGTGAACCTTGTTTACTTATACCAAAACTACTTGCCAGTTGTTTAAGAAAATCTACTTCTTGGGAGTAATTGCTCTCTAAGCTTCCTGAAGAATCAAGAATAAAACCAACATCGAAAAATCCCTCACAACTTGGATCTTCAAGATGAACAGTACCTAAAGTAAACAATATATATTTTTATACAATAGCATATGCTTCCACGTTGTGCTTATATATATATATATATATATATATATATATATATATATATATATATATACATATACATATATATATATATATATATATATATATATATATATATATATATATATATATATATATATATATATATATATATATATATATATATATATATATATATATATATACATATACATATACATATATATATATATATATATATATATATATATATATATATATATATATATATATATATATATATATATATATATATATATATATAAGCACCACAGAAATATTTTTTAGAATTGATAAGACATAAAAAGTAATCTGACTTAAAAAACAACCTTTTTTTCCAAGAGTTATTTTAAAGTTTCTGATTAACCCTGCTTGTGCTGTATATTCTGGCGACGATGCGTATACCATCACAGTATTCAATTCCACTGGAGTTATTTTTTCAGAATATACTTCCACATCATTTAAATGAATGTAGTAAGTGTATGAACCACCATTAAATGTTTGTGACAACACAACTTTGTTCCACATATCAAAAGCAACAGGGTTCTGATCAATACTAACCAGTTTGTTGTTTATTAATGTAGATGCAGTTAACATCGTGCTATTTCTACTTTTATGAAACCAAAAATCTGGATAAATACTAGAAACACTAGATCCTGAAAATTTAATGACATTATAATACAAATCTTGAACAGATTCAAACTGAACATCAAATGTTAAAACAAATTCTTTCTCTAACTTTGGCAATGATGTAATAACTGCTTTTTCAATTAAAGGTTTTTCTTGTTTAACAATGAAACCTTTAAAATAAAATAAAAAAGTATATAAATGCTACAAATAGATTATAAATATGTTAGAATAAAAAAATATGATACAATGTATAACTATATATGATTTACAAACAAAACTTTTAACTTAAAAGTGCATAGAAATTCTTGGAACTCTTACAAAATAAAAAGAAAAGGAGAAAAAAAACTATAGTGTAGGAAAAGTGAAATGCAATCTTGCATGCATATATATTTTTAAAAGTGCTATATTATGATTTCAGTAACAGTTTAAAAATCATTTTAAATTTTTATTGGATAAATAAATAAAGTAGATAAAAATTAATGTGAAAAACTTTAAAAGAAAAAAAAAATTTAAGAAATAAAACTACATCAAATATATTTCTTCACATTTTCAAGTTTAATTTGTAATAGATTTAATAAATTTAATACAGATGTAATGACATTCTAGATGAAATGGGAAGGATGTAATAAACGTGCCCTAAAAAAAAAAAAAACCTCCTACCTACCCCCCCCCCCCCCATCTTGAATAAATTTAAAACCCTTTTCAAATAATTCAAAACATCAAATAATACATATACAATATATAAACTTTGATTCATTTATTTTGATTTGAAATAAAAATAAAACAGAGTTAAACAAAAATTATAATTCTAAATATAATAATTATAAATCAAACCAACCTTCATTTCCATTTTTAATAATTAAACTACGAACTAATGCATCTTGAGGGAGATTGTATTGATCTCCTGCATACACAGCTACAGATGAATATGATTTTGACTTCATGTTTTCCTTTGAAAATAATGTTTCCCCTCCAATTTCAACCATATAAACATATTTATCAAGCAAACGCTGTTGATATAATTTTATTGGGGTCCAAGCAAAGAGTAGAATGCTGTTACTTGATTTAACTTCGTCATCTATTGTACCAAATACTGATTTTATAACCAGAGTTCCACTTCCATCTTCTGAAAACCAAACTGCAATAAACTTATCATTTTCCAGTTCTATCCGAAAGACACTATGAAGGCCGCGAGAATAAAGAGTTGGTTTTATTTCAAAAGATATAATGAATTCTTCTTCAACGACTGATAAGGTTGCAAGTAGATTACTTTTATGAAGTTTAAACTCGTTTTCAGTGTTTCCTAAACATTGTCAACAATTAAAACATTTAAAATATGATAATTGTGTTTTATAACATTTTAACAACATTTATAATAATTATTAATTATTGTTAATAACTTGAACAAGAAAAAAAGTTATTTGGATTAATATATTCAGCAAAAAAAAAAAAAAAAAAAAGTTCTGCTGAAAATAAAGCACAAAAAATACAAACAAACACAAAACACATGAATAAAAAAAGTACAAAAAATCACAAAAAGTACAAAAAAGCACAAATTACAAACAGCTTGAGTAGCAAGCAATATTGTCTACATACTGTAAATAATATTGAACTAAAATTGCTAGTTGGGTAAAAAACATAACAAATAGTACAACCACAAAAAGTAAAATACATGCATGAGACACAAATCACAAATATTGTATTAAAATAATAAAAACAACGAAGAAAAGTACAAAAAAACACAATCACAAAATGTAAAAAAAAGAAACAAAAGTTAACAAAGAAAACTTAGTGTAATTAAAAAAAAAAATAAATGACAAAATCTATTTTCATGGTGAATCAAAACAAAACCTATTTTCATGTCTGTATCTTACGGACATGGAAAATAATTGAATATTTACTATATTAAAACAATAATTATTGTTTGTAGTATTAATTAATATCTTATATTAAAGCTGATTTTGAATTTTTTTTTTGATTGTTAAGATTTTTAAAATTATTAAGATAAACAATTACAAATTTATAAACTTTAACTTTACCCAAGCAGGTGCCTTCTTTTATTTTTTTTAAAAAATCCTGTTTAATCAACTCATCAAAGTTTTCAGCTAAAAATACTTTGTCACTTGATCCAGCAATATTATTTAGCTCTAAACGATTTACACCTTTGCCAATACCTACTGCAATAATTTCAACTCCTCTGTCTCGTAAAAGTTGAGCTACATTTACAGGATCTTCAGCGCCACCTTCATTAGTCTCTTGTTTGCCGTCTGTCAACAGAAACAATAGCCGGGGAACATTTTTTCTTGCTCCATTAATCTCTTCAAACATTTCCAAAGATTTTCGTAAAGCTAAGTCAATTCTTGTCCATCCATTCATATGTTCTATCTCATAAACAGATTTATTAAAAGGAGCTTGTTCAAAGTAGTCATTTAGTTTTATGCTCAGCACAGCGTCACTACTGAAAGTTACAACAGCTGCATGTGCACCACTAGGGTTTATACCAAAGGTACTGGCAAGATTTATAAGAAATTCTTTTTCTTGAGGGTATTCCTTTTCTAAACTTCCAGAAGAATCAAGTATGAAGCCTACATCTACAATTCCAACACAGTCTGGACTTTTTAAATTCAAATCTAGACAAAATTAGGAAAAAAATTAAGTGACTTTAATTTAAGAAGTGTAGTAGAAAGAAGACAATATAACACTGAATAACACTGGATATTGAGTTCCTACTTGAAAAAAAAAAGAATATATATATTTAAAAGCAAACTCTTCATTTCAAAGTTAATTTTTACTAAATATTCATAAGATTTGAAAATGTTATTAATTTTTATATTAACACCAATAACATAGTTCTATCAATTCAAATTTTTAGTATAGAAAAATTAAGTGTGTTAAAGAGTTGATAATTAAATTGAACACAAAAATTTTGAATTTATCAAATTTTTCTAATTTAATAAAAGATATATATTTAATTTTTGTAAACAAAAAATACAACAAATAACGATATAAAAACAGCAACACAATCTAGATATAAAAAATAACATAAGAAAAATTAAAACAACAATTTAAAGGTAAAAGTATAAATATAAAGAAGATAATGCACAAATAACAAAGAGCACAAAAAAATTAATTTGTGCAAAAAAAAGATGTAGATAATAATTTTTAGATAAAAGTATGCTGACAGCAATATGTAGATAGCAATGTTTAGATAACAAATATAGATAAATATGCAGATAACAAATAACAATATGTACAATGTTTAAATTAGAATGTGCAAGCAGTAATATAAAGAAAACAAATGAAAAAAAAATGTAATTTTTAAAAATGTTAATGATATAAAAACATTTACAATATTTAGTTACAATAAAAATATACAGACAAAAAAATATATAAAAGATATGATGTGAATATAAGCTAGAAATAGAAATATAAAACTGTGTTTATTTTCTCACTGGTTAAACATTTTTAAATTAAACATTTCTTACTGGTATCAGAATTGATTTTATAAGGCACTGCTGTATGATTCCAATGATAACTAGATTGACTCCAAAAATTTGGTTTTTTACCATCTTTTAACTCACGAAACAAATTTGTTATTTTTATATCACCTTCATCGATAACTCCAAATGGGTATATGTTTTGGGCTAAACAAAAAAAAAAAAATTTTTAATCGCGTAAACACGACTAATTTCAATTAAAATCTTATGAAAAACAACTTTAATAATATAGGTGTAAAACAAATAAAAAAATAATTTCTTATATAATCAATTTTCCAATAATAAACAAAATATGTCCTTGTCAGTTTTGCACTAGAAAATAAGTCTGCATTAGTTTTGCTCTAAAATGTATGAAACTTTTCTCAAATAGAAACTAAAACTTACAAGTTATAAAAAAGTTATAAAAAATAATCTCTACCACTTTCTTCTGCTTGATGTTCTTGAAGCAAATCTTCTTTTGTGTTAGGCAAAAATAAATCTAAAAAAAAAACCTATTGCTAAAACTGAGAAAAAAGACATTTTATAGACTTTTCACAAGATATTGTTCCAAACTTGGAATTCCTTTTTGTCAAATAAAAAATAAAAACTATTGCAGATTTTCGCAGATTAACAATCTCACAGAAAATATATTTCATAGATGTAATTTTATCTTTCATATATATAATTTTATCCCATTTAATATTATTAATAAGTGTTTTTTGTAAATATTTAATCTTCTTATTATCTTTTTTTTTTTGTTGAAAATCTTAAGGCCTGAGCAAAATAAACACAACTAATAAACACAAGAAAAAAGAATTCTCTTTTCTAGTGGGTAACAGCTTATTAACAAAAGTAAAAAAACAGTAGATAAAAAGTCTGAAGCATTTAAGAGCAATTAATTTTCAAATGGTTCAAAGTATTTGAATTATTTTCAAAATATTATTTAAAAAAATATAAAACATCAAGTTAAGAAAATTTTGTATTTATTTTTATTTTATTTAATTTCTTAGAATAATATCAATAACAAATTATTGAATAATAATATGACAAAACTATTTCAGCTTCTAATTATTGGGGCCATTTCTCAATATGAGCTGTAAGAAATTTTGTACTAAATATGAGCTGTATGAAGTTGTACTGCAAATTTGAACTTATTTTGAGATTGATTTTGAGCTGGCTACATTAGGCAGATTTTTAACTTTTTAAAATTTTGTCACTTCTTTCCATCTGTGCAAATACACCTTGCCATTAACCAGTTTTGACATTCGTATACATACTTGAACTTAACTTGAGTATCAAAATATTTTCTAGAGAATTGTCTCTAGAGAATCGTGGGTAATTGTGGGTAAAGTTAATTGAGCGATTCACAATTCTCTGTAGAACTGTCAAAAAACTTTATCTCTAAAGAATTGTGAATAGCTATTTTATAAAAATTTCTTACTAATTTTAATGACTTTTTGCCATGTTTATAATATTAGCAAGTTTTTTGCAATGTTCATTTATTTATACTGTTTAGTCATTTCATTTTAAGTATTTATGCTGCTTTATTCTTGATTTTACTCAACTTCTTATTTCACCTATGTTTTCACTTATGTCTACTAGGTTTTTCTATGTTTTCACTTATGTTTACTATGTTTTTTCTATGTTTTTACTTATGTCTACTAGGTTTTTCTATGTTTTCACTTATGTTTACTATGTTTTTTCTATGTTTTTACTTATGTCTACTAGGTTTTTCTATGTTTTCACTTATGTTTACTATGTTTTTTCTATGTTTTTACTTATGTCTACTAGGTTTTTCTATGTTTTCACTTATGTTTACTATGTTTTTTCTATGTTTTTACTTATGTCTACAAGGTTTTTCTATGTTTTCACTTATGTTTACTATGTTTTTTCTATGTTTTCACTTACGTCTACTAGGTTTTTCTATGTTTTCACTTACGTCTACTAGGTTTTTCTATGTTTTCACTTATGTCTATTATTTAGCATTAAAATAAAAGAAGTTAAACATCTAAGTTACAAATTTTACAAGCAAGTAGAGAATTGAAATCAGATAGCAATTTACTGCAAAGATTCTTTTTATACCAAATTTTGTAAAAAAAAATTCTAATTTCATACTCAAGTTTTTGATTGTATTGCTTTGCTTTAATTTCTAACAGTTATTTTTTGGCCTAATAGTGTTACTAAAAATGTTCTTTGTTTAATAATTTAATGCTTTAGTAATAAAAATGTGCTTTCAAAGATTTTTAGATAAATACTTTCAAAGATTTGTTTGAAACTATCAAACTGTCAGTGTAATTTAGATCAGCAAATATCACTCCATATAAAATGTAAAATAATGGAAAGCATAATTAGCATAATTAGAAGACATAATTAGATGTAATTTTGAAACTTTTTTTGTTCAAACTAATAGTAAAGCAACAGGTTTTCTTGTGAATCTCAACAAATCATCCAAAAAATTATATCCAAATTGTGTCAATGTGGCAATTAATAATTTCTAAAACATCAGAGTCCATTGATTTGTTGGAATTTAGGAAGGTAGATTGTTGTAAGAGCTTTTTAACTACCATGAATTAAAATGCACACCCAAAACTTGTTTATTATTTATTTATCAGTCGTTTTGCTATCAGTTGTTGTAAGGAAGTGAATCTTAAAAACGCATTCTAATTTTATTATTTAACCAATGAAACAGTGTTTTCTTGTGAATAAACCATGCTTAATAAATCTACCTGGAAAATTAAATTTTATTTTAACCATCTTAAAAAATAGTAAACTGGTTGTTGTTGTTTTTTGGATTTCAATAAAGCATTTGACACAGTGCTACATAAAAAATTGTTGCTTAAACTAACAGTTTATAGAAAATCTAGTCCCACAATTCAATGGACTGAAGCTATTAGAAAAAAAAAAAAATAAGCAAAGAATTGTGGCAGAGGAAAATGTATCTTATTGGGGAATAATTACCAGTGGCATGACATAGGGTTCAGTAATTGGACCACTCTTGTGTTATTTAGAAATAATTTGCATGAAACTCTAAAAAACATAACAAAGCTGTATGCAGATGACACTAAACTATTAAATGAAATGCTTCCTTGTGCATCAACTCTATCTTTGCAATCTTGATATAGCTTTAGGTAGATTCAAAACTGGCGAAAAAATTCTAAATGTATGGTCATGCACTTTGGCCAAAATAACAAGAAATCACCTCTTTGTATCAATAAACAAAAGTTAAACAAAACAGAATCTGAAAGTGATCTTGGAGTGATCTTAAGTAATTTGATATGGAAATATCACTTAATAAAATGCATGGAAAAAGACAACCAAATGTTGGGTGAGATTAGAAAGTACTCCTGAAATTACTTTATATTTTTTTTGTGCGACCACTTTTAGAGTTTGCAGTACCGGTTTTGTTACCAATTCAAAAGGGAGAAATTGATTACTTAATGTTTTTTTTGTGCAACCACTTTTAAAGTTTGCAGTACAAGTTTTGTTACAATTCAAAAGGGTGAACTGGATTTATTGGAAAGTGTTCAACATTGTGCAATTCAATTAATACCACCACTCAAGAAAATTTACTATAAGAATTGTCTAAAAGCTCTTGACTTTATTAAATTTTTTATTGGTTTGAAAAGTTAACAGGTTACTGCTTTAAATATGCCAAAGAAATCACTATGCAAGCATGTTGCAAAAACTTTTTATTTAACAAACCAAATTATGAAACAGCTTGCCAAACGAGCTGGTGAATGCAAAATTAGTTTACTGTTTTAAAGCAGGTCTTAATTGCTGGGTGAGCAGTAATTAAGCAAATCAGCTGTCATAGTGTGTTGTACCACACTCACCAGCGCACACTAGTTCACACAACAGCTAAACCACACACACCATCTCACACCAGCTCACACACCAGCTCATACCACACACACCAGGTCACACCAACTCACACACCAGCTCACACCACACACACCAGCTCACACACCAACTACAGTGATTACTAATACTCTTGAAATTTTGTACATTTTATGACATTGAAATTTTAATAAAAAGTTATCATCATCATCATCATCATCATATTCATCATCATCATCATCATCATCATCATCATCATCATCATCATCATCATCATCATCATCATCATCATCATCATCATCATCATCATCATCATCATCATCATCATCATCATCATCATCATCATCATCATCATCATCATCATCATCATCATCATCATCATCATCATCATCATCATCATCATCATCATCATCATCATCATCATCATTACTAAGTAGTTTAATTCTAAATTAATTATTAAATAAACAAATATAATGCTCTAATCTAAAAAATTTTTAGACTAAAACCCCCCAACAGAAACATCATAACAGCATTTTTGTTCAAACAAAATATTAAATGTTAAACAACATAAAATTAAAATTTAAAATTTTAACTCAAAAATGAAAACTCAGGATGATAGATCTTTAATCTGTGCTTAGACAAAGATATTGTAGCTGTTATAAATGATGGAGCATCTGTTATGCAAAAATTTGGGTGATTGTCTCCTGCTTCTCCAACCATGCTTTACATCTAGCAGTTAAAAATGCTTTATTGGAACTAAACTTAAACCATCTATGGAAAGATCATTATGTCATTATCACAAAAACATTGTTAACTGTTTTAGAGCCTGTTAGTTTAACTGTAGAGAGTTTAGGCAGAGAAGATTCCAAACTGTTAACAACAAACAATTAGACAAGAATGCAATTTTTTTTCAAACTGGTTCCAGAACAAAAATTTTAGAACTTTTTAAAAATGCACTGTCAACAATTAAATCTACATCTACACAAAAATCTAAAATGTTATTTGTCTGCTTTTATGTATAAAAACTTGAATAATTTGTTTCATGTAGTGTCATGCAGACTTAAGTCTTCAGTATAATAACACTAACAGGTACTTACCATCATTTCCATTTACAACTCTGAGATCTTTAATAGAACCATTCTGAGCATCATACCATGGGTCTGATGTATACACTTTGATATTGTTAAATGATTGTGGTTTCGTATTTTTAACACTTTCAACAACTTTCCCATTTATATTTACAGAAAAAATGTAAGCTCCATTATATTTAACTTGAGCTATCTTAATGTTTGACCATTCATTAAGGGGAAGAGGTTCAGAATTGATATTATAATTATAATTGCCATTTATTGCAGAAGCAATGACCAGCCTTCCTGAGCCATCTTCATGAGTAAATACTGCTGGGCTCCTATCACCATATTGACCACTATTTTCTTTAATAGTCAAATGTATAACACTTTTTAATCCAGGTGTATATAAATTGGGTTTTAACTTAAAAGTGATTGTATATACTTTTTCCAATGTTGACAATGTTGCAATCAAGTTGTCTTTTTTCAAAATTTCTTCATCTGGAAAATCAACTACATCTAGAAAAAAAAAGTTTTTTTTTTAATGTTTCTAATTCTGAAATAAAATTTTTACAAAAAGAAAATGATTATGATAATAATAATAATAATAATAATAATAATAATAATAATAATAAAAATAATAATAATAAAAATAAAAAGAATAATAATAATAATTATAATAACAATAATAATTATAATAATATCAATAAAATTTAAAATTAACCTAACCTTGAGTGACAAACACTACATTTGGCAAAGATTCATCATCTAAATTTAAAAATTTAATTAATAAATATCATATAAGTTATAAAGTATAAACTAATAACAACATAACTGCATAATTAATATAATGCTATTTATATTACGTTATAAATAATAACAGATAAAACATTTGTGTGTCTTTTCATTTTTGTTAGAATAGTAAAAAACTTAAAAAAAATTGGAGGTTACCATCTTGGATGGTCATCTTTCTAGTGATTGCATCAATTTTTTTTTGAAAAATTTTCAATAAATTTTGCGTTTGAAATTTTCTCATTTTTCGAGAAATTATTTGATATTTCTCAAGAAAAAAAACAGTCTTTGTTGGCATGCTAACATTAAGTTCAAACTGCAATCTCTTTAATTTAAATTATACCTCGTTGTCTGTGGTGCTGATGTGTGTATAAATATCTTTTAAGTTCACCAAAACAAATTCAAATATTAAGGGAAATAATAATAAAAGGGAATAGGAAGTAGAATAGGAAGTGTTTTATATACATATTTTACTAATGTAAGGTGAATTATGTTTATGTTTTAATGGCTGTAAAGTAACTACTTACAATTTTGAAATTCAATTTTTAATGTCAAGGGAGTTTAACTTGACATAAATAATATTTAGTGTAATAAAAAAAAATGCACAAATTCTAAATTTTCAAACATTATTTATAAAATAAAAACGTTATAAATAAAAACGCATGTAAACAGCTGCAAAGGATTAGGAATATAATTTAGTGTTAGTAATTTGTTAAACTTGATAACTATAATGAGGTATCAATAATTATTTTTGATTTTATTTCCGTACTGTATTCTGTAATCTCCAATTCTTCTTGTAACCAATAAAAGATTAAACAACTTTTATAAATAGTTAGTACAATAAACTTTGTAAACCCGACTGAAGATTTTTTCTAATCATTTAGATATTTAACTTATATAATTAGTTTTTTATCAACAAAAATGAGCAAAACATAAAGATGTGTAGAATTATTTTGAAAAGAAAGAACATAATATAGAATATACTATATAAAACATTTTCAGGAAACAACTGTTATGCAAAAATTTGTCAACTACTGGCTTACACCGGCATCTACAATGCCCTGTCCAAGAATTCCAAAGAAAAGAAGCTGAATTCGTTAATACCTGTTCCACATCATTCCCATTGACATCTTGTAAACGAGTGAAAAAACGATTGAGTAGTACTAATAATCAAACAATTTTAACATTTATAAAACGAGCAATTCTAAAGAAGTAATATCTAAAATGGCAGCTATAGATTCTCTTTTAACCAGATAGCTAAATTTGAAATCAAATTTATATGGCATAGTATGACTGCAAGAGGATTCAAGCTACCATATAATCCTAGTGAAGTACGACAATTAATGATGGACTTTTGTTATATTAAGAAAGAGGAGTTAGTAAAAAATATATTAAGAATTTAAAAGAGAAACAGAAAAAGTTTAGTGTGTCTATTTATGAATGGACGAGTCTTAAAATAAGAAATTTACTTATGTTCATTTAAATGTAAGTTCTAAAGATTTGTACAATTTGGGTTTAAAATATATCGAAGGTAATTGTACAGCAGAGAAGATGCTGGAAATTTTAAAAGAAAAATGATAGATCTTTAATCTGTGCTTAGACAAAGATATTGTAGCTGTTATAAATGATGGAGCATCTGTTATGCAAAAAATTCGGGTGATTGTCTCCTGCTTCTCCAACCATGCTTTACATCTAGCAGTTAAAAATGCTTTATTGGAACTAAACTTAAACCATCTATGGAAAGATCATTATGTCATTATCACAAAAACATTGTTAACTGTTTTAGAGCCTGTTAGTTTAACTGTAGAGAGTTTAGGCAGAGAAGATTCCAAACTGTTAACAACAAACAATTAGACAAGAATGCAATTTTTTTTCAAACTGGTTCCAGAACAAAAATTTTAGAACTTTTTAAAAATGCACTGTCAACAATTAAATCTACATCTACACAAAAATCTAAAACGATTGTAAAAATTTCCAGAAGTGAGTGATTTTTTTACAAATAAAAGAAATAGATTATCAAGGGAAACATTTAATGTACTATATTTTATAAAATTCCTTTTTAAAACAGAGAAATAATTCATTTACATTTACAAATTTTGAAAAATAAAATTTTAATATTCATTTTCAATTTTTAAACTATGCATTTAATTTTTTGTACTTCTAAATAAACTTAATAAAGTTTTTAAGATCTTATTTCAATGTTTGTTAGTTATTTGTTATTTATTTTTATTTTATTTACTTGTTAGTTATTAGTTTAATTCTTTTTGGATTATTTAACAACTATTTTTGAATGAAGCATGTAATTTCAACGTGTTTTTATTAATTTTTTCCCTCAAATGTTTGCCAGGTTTATTTATATACATAATGTACCTAAACATTTAAACATTTAAACATTTAAACATTAAACATTTTTGAACAAATATTTTATGTTTTCAAGATTCTCAAGTAATCTCAAGAAAAAAAAAAAAAATTCAAGAAATAAAAATTATTGGGAAATGTCAAACATTAAACGCAACTAAAAATCCTTAGTTCAAAACTGATATTTGCAAATCAAGTTAATGCCAGAATGTGCACCTGTTTGTCATATTTATATAAAGAAATGGCATCATGGAGACTCGCACAAATAACTCAAGTATGGAAACATGGAAATTAAACTTAAAAAATTAATTGAACGTATCCTTGCAAAACATATTATATTGTATGTACAAGATGAATTTTCAAATAGTCAATTTTGTTTCCTTTCTGGAAGAAGTACAATTGATGCCATCATGCAAGTAATAGATGACTGGGATATGATATTGATTTCAAAGTATCACAATTTGTTTTATTCTTTGATTTTGTGAAAGCATTCAACCTCAGCAACCACATTATTCTCATTTACCAACTTAAGATCAACCTATTGTCATGGCTATCATCCTGGAATGCAAAGTGGCTTTTAAACCATAAACAAAAACTCATATTAAACAAAAAGGCTACTAAATGGAAAGATGTGTTATCAGGAGTCATACAAGGAAGCATTCTTGACCTAATTCTTTTTTTTATCTATATACTAGACATAAACAAGTACCTCTCGACAGTCATTACACGCAAGAAATATCCAGATATTTTCCTAGCTTGCATAATCAATAAAAACTCTCACCTTCCATAAGAATATATAATAAGGACAGATACAAACACATACCAATGATTGTCAAAGTAAGCATTGAATGTTCCAGTACAATAGAGTCAGGTATTACTAGAAACCGACGTAAAATATTCTATCCCTGAATCATATCTAGCCAACATAGCCATACTTCGAATTACCTATGACATCCATAAGTAAGAATTATATTATCTTCTGGTTCTAAAAGCTAGCTCAGATATGTTCCAGAAACAAACATATTCCCCATGATAAGAGCAATTATGTATGGAACTGTTTTTTTATTTCAGTAATATTACTTGAAACCAGCATAAAAATTTCTATCCCCGAACCATATCCAGCCAACCCAGTCATACTACAAATTTCCTATGATGGACTTAGCATCTATACATAGAATTTATATTATCTTCTAGTTCTAAAATCTAGCTCAGACATGTTCCAGAAACAAATATATTCTCCCGCAGAAACAGCAATTATGTAACGGTAGTTCTGTTCTTTAGGTATACACAAAAAAAAAAATAATAATAATTAGCAAAGCACACACAAAAGTAGTATCGTATATAGAAAATATAAAGGATGAGATCAAACAAAGACATATAATTAAGACAATCAAAAAAGGTTTTGCCACAAGATGTATATAACATGAAAAATTGTCATATACAGAAAATCAAAAAAAAATGTTGGCGTATAATAAGATAGTTGTTGCTCACTAGTCAAAAATTTTCCCTGCTGATACACCAAATATAGAATACTAGATTTACATTCCAACCTGTGGCTACTCAGTTAGTGTTCTGTGCAACGGTATGTAATGTTTAATAGTGATAAAAATCGCATAAGTGATACGCTATAATGATACTAAAAGCATCACACAATATAGATAAGAAAAGCTAATTATATAAATATTAAAAATGAAGAAATAAAAAAAGTGATAGGCCAAAAAAATATATAATTGTAATAGATGTTTATGTTAGTCTAGTTTGGAAAATAGTCATAGCTTCCTAGTTATTATATGGAAAATAGTCATAGCTCCCAACATAAATTATTTAAAAAAATGAAAAAATATACATCAAAGGACTAGACCAAGATGTAAAGCCTAAGTGAAATAAGGAAAAAATTAGGAATAGATAAAGAATAAAAATATTAAAAATATATTTTGAACAGATGTTCAAAACAAAACTAAGACACTATAGTAAAGCGTATAGTAAAAAAATTATTATAATTTAGACACCACGCATGTAATAGAAATGACTACTAATCGAAATTTTTTACACTAGACTGAGCAATGAGAGCCCACAAAGAAATATGAAACATTTCTATTGAAAAATTAATAATATGAAACATTTAAAATAAAATAATATGAAGCATTTCTATTGAAAAAACTTTTTATATAAAGGAGGATAATAAATAATTTTTTTAAAGTAATAAAAACAAAGAAAAACAAACAGATGCTCAGAATAAACACAGATTTATTTTAAGAAGAAAAAGATGTCAATATTTAAAATGAATAAATATAAAAAGATACAAGGTATAAGATAAAGAAAAACATTATTGCTTTTGTGTAATCATAATTTATGTAATGGTGGTAACAAACTTCTCCTCAGAATCACGTTTATTACTACCAGCGTTTCAAGAGGCTCAACACCAATACCTAGTATATCCAGTCAGATAATCATTATCTTCATTTATGCTTTACCCTGTGATTTACGCGTACTTCATATTGCAGTAAAAAAGGGCTTCACTACAAAAAGCCAAAACCCTAACTTCACCCAAATTTGTAAAGCACTAACATTTTTGAAGAACTTTTTTTTCATTTAACACTGTTTTATCAATAAAGACTCATCAGAAATTCATTTCTGATGAGTCTTTATTGATAAAACACAGTGAATAACTGCTCTGTTCTTATAAGAACATTGAGCACTCTATTTTGTAGAATACATTTTAAATTGTATAAATATATATATATATATATATATATATATATATATATATATATATATATATATATATATATATATATATATATATATATATATATATATATATATATATATATAATACATATTATATATTATATATATATATATATTTTTTTTTTTTTAATAAAAGACTATGTATTCAGGCTTGGTCGGGAAGCGGGTGCGATTGCACTCGATATTTGACCACGGAAATTATATTTAGTTGCGAAAAGCCGGCCAGATTTTTTAGGCGTTTTGAGAACATTTCAAAAACAAGCAAAAAAGCGCAATAAGATAAACTGGACCGATGAGAGACAGTTAAAAAAAAGAAAAATAGCTTTTAACGCAAAACTTTAAGCAAAATAAATACGATTAGAGTTTCAAAATATTTTTGAAACGTCGCTCTTTTATAATTTTTTTTTTTAAAAAAAAGCGACATTTTTTGTATATAGTAACAACGTATTAATAATGATTGTTTAATAAAGAAACAAATGTTCTTCAATTTATCAAAGATTATATATAATTTTTATTTATATACTTATGTCTTATTTCCAGTGCTGGAAATAAGACATAAGTATATAAATAAAAATTGAAGATAAAATGAAGATAAAGTTCGGTACCTGTTTTATGCTTCGCGTAGTTTGAAAAGTTTAACATATTTGAAACTGGATATACTAGGTATTGGTGTTGAGCCTCTTGAAACGCTGGTAGTAATAATTTTTCGGTACCTGTTTTATGCTTCGCGTAGTTTGAAAAGTTTAACATATTTGAAACAATTCTTCTTTGTAAGATGAACAAATGAAATAACTAAATCATTGAGTTACTGTGGAAATTTAATTAGCTAGATAGAAATTAACTAAAAACGTTAAATTACTTTGTAAGGAGGAAGCGGAACTGCTTAACAATATCGCTGATGACGTTTAGTGAGTGGGCTTTATATCTTTAACTAGTATTTTACAGAAGAAAAAAATCTTTAAGTGTAAGTATAACGAGTTTGTAAGAATGGCTGAAGCAAAAATAATTGAAGTTAATAAACCAATTTCTAATACATTACATACATATAAATACATCCCTTATATATAAAAAATAAGATTATACTAATTAAATCTATAATATATTTACAAAACGTTGACAAGTTAAAAAATATAAATTTAAAACATTTATTTTTGTAAACAAATGTTAGTTTAAAACATTTAAAAAAATTGTTTTTTTTCCATTAAAAAATGTGTTTAGACATAGATTAGATAACATAAGTTACATTAAAATTTTTACAATAAATAAATTAAATAATTGCTTAACAAAATACTTATTTAAATAACCTGATTTTCCATTTACAATACAGAGATCTTTTATTGAACCATCTTGAGCAGAATACCATGGGTCTGAAACATAAACAATGACGTTATCAAACAATTTTGGTTGCGTATTCTCTTCTGCAAAAACCTCCTCTCCATTCAATTTTATTGTGTATATATAAATATTATTTTCCAACTGTTGTGCAACTTCAATGTGTGACCACTCTTTAAGTGCAACAGGTTCTGTTTTAAAAACTCTATTAATATTTCCATTTATTGAGGCAGCAATTTGAAGACTACCATCACCACTGTTATGGAACCACACTCCTGGAACTCTATCGCCATATTTACTGATATCAGAACCAATAGTAAAATGAATAACATTGTGCCAACCAACTGAAAATAAACTTGGTTTAATATCAAAGTATATTTTATATGTGCTATCCAACTTTGGAATGACTGCCACCATGTTTTTTTGAATAATATGTGTTTCTCTGTCTTCTATCAGTTGCTCTAAAAACATTAAATTTATACAACTTTTTAAATTTAATTAAAAAGTTGTATAAATTTTAATTAAATTTAAATAAAAAAATTACATCGCAAAAAAAAAATTAAAAAAAATGATAAAAATAAAATAAAATATTTTTAAAACTGTTTGAAAATTTAAAATAACTGTTGCTTTGGAAACATCATGTTTATATTGTGATGAATTTCAAAATTTTATATCTATTATTAAAAACAAGGTTGATTTGAAAACATTTTTACATTGTGGTGAACTGCAAGTTTTAAAATTGATGATTTAAAACAATGTTGCTATGGAAACATCATGTTTATATTGCAGTGAACTGACAATTTTAAAATTATTATTTAAAGCAATTGTTGTTTTGGAAACATCTTGTTTATATTGTGGTAAATTGCAAAATTTTTAGGGATGTACTGGAATTCTGTTATGGTCGAAATTTGTAATTTTTTAGGTCATTCCGGTTCTGGCTGGAATTACAATATTTCAGGCCAGAATGCCGGAATTTATTTTTTACTTTTTTTTTTTTTTTTAATGCGATATATACTGAGTAAATTAAATCAAATTAAAAACCATTGTTATACAGGGCAATGAAGAACTAAAAAATACAAATTCTTAACAAACAAGATGTAATTTTAGGTAAAGCTACAGTTAAAGGGTCTAAAATAACTTTATTATTTTAGACCGCTTAGGCAAAAGCCTATTGCAACCAATACTTGTCAGTGTAAAAGTGAATAAGTCAATAAGTTGACTTTTTGAAGCCGACATGTTTTTAAAATCAAACGTTAGGTCAACCTGAAATTTTATAAATAAAAGCAGACAAAAATGTTATTTGTCTGCTTTTATGTATAAAAACTTGAATAATTTGTTTCATGTAGTGTCATGCAGACTTAAGTCTTCAGTATAATAACACTAACAGGTACTTACCAACATTTCCATTTACAACCCTGAGATCTTTAATAGTACCATCCTGTGCATCATACCATGGATCTGATGTATAAACTTTGACATTTTCAAATGATTGTGGCTTATTATTTTCAATACTATGTATAATTTTACCATTAATCTTCACCATAAATGTATAAACTCCATTACGTCGAACTTGAGAAATTCTAATATTTGACCACTCATTAGGTGTAAGTGGTTCAGAATTAAAATTATAATTAGCATTTCCATTAACTGCAGAAGCAATGGTTAACTTCCCCGAGCCATCTTGATGAAAAAATACTGCAGGACTTCTTTCACCGTATTGGCCTACATCTGAGCCAACGGTCAAATGAATAACATTTTTCAATCCTTGAGAATACAAAGTAGGTTTTATTTTAAAAGTAACTAAATAAGCTTTTTCCAAAAATGGCAATGTAGCAATCAAGTTATCTTTCTTCAATGTTGTTTCAGCAGTAATTTCCACATAATCTAAGACATTAAATATATATTTTTTAAATAAGTTTTATTTTCCTTGAAACTAAAAATAAATTCTAAAGTAATAAATAAAAACATAACTATTATAAAATAAATTTCAATAAATTTTCCTAATTTGAACAACTAGAATGTCTGATCAATTATTTGGAACAAAGACGGCCCCACATATTCTGTACAAACTTCAGGGAACAAGGAAGTAATAAAATTTTAGAATATTTGCTTATTCATAGATTTATAAAGATTTTAGACAGATTTCTGGTATAAAAAAAAGGATTTAGAAGGAATAGACAGTGGACCTAGGGCATGTATGAAAAAGTTAGTATATAAATTGAAAGTGAAATGACTAATCAATTAGAAAACCTCACCTTTTGTAACAAGGACAACATTTGGCAAGGATTCATCATCTAAATAAAAATCTTCTAAAAGTTTTGAAAATTAAAAAAAATTTGATTAGTATAAAAATAAAATCTTTATAATCATTTTAATTATTCGTTACTAATATCTTAAATTATGTTAGTAATAATAAATTAAAAATAAAAAGATAAATAACTAACAAGCATTATTTAAAAAATAAACACTATTTTTAAATAGACAATAATAATCAACTTTAGGTAATAAATTTAATTATAGGTTAAATATATAGTACCTTCAATATATTAACTTAAAATAGTTCATGGCTTACCATGGCTTCTATGCAGATCTGTAATTAGGGTATGGCCAATACAGTCTTTGCCATTGGCCATACCCTAATTACAATAAAACCATTACAAATACAGTCTTTGCCATTGGCCATACCCTAAATACAATAAAGCCATTACAAATACAGTCTTTGCCATTGGCCATACCCTAATTACAATAAAGCCATTACAAATACAGTCTTTGCCATTGGCCATACCCTAATTACAATAAAGCCATTACAAATACAGTCTTTGCCATTAGCCATACCCTAATTACAATAAAGCCATTACAAATACAGTCATTGCCATTGGCCATACCCTAATTACAATAAAGCCATTACAAATACAGTCTTTGCCATTGGCCATACCCTAATCACAATAAAGCCATTACAAATACAGTCTTTGCCATTGGCCATACCCTAATCACAATAAAGCCATTACAAATACAGTCTTTGCCATTGGCCATACCCTAATCACAATAAAGCCATTACAAATACAGTCATTGCCATTGTTTTAAAAAGATGCCAAGATTTTTCATTATAGTATGTATTCGAAATTAATAACATAACACACAAAAAACTTTGTATTTATATTTATATGTAGTATTTATGAACTCTAATTTCTTGAAAATTTTGTCTTTTGTCTTTTTGGATTCATATTGAGCTCTATGAGCAACTTATTGCTTTTTGGGTGGTACTTCTTTGATGAGTAAAAATAAAAAAACAAATCACTTTGGTGTGCTGAAACACATCAAACTAACAGAGTTATTGTTTTGCAATTTTGGTAATGGTGTCGTTATTGCTAGAATTATCATTATTTTATTTATAAAATATTGATTTATATAAATTATGTTACTATAGTAATCACGCAAAGCATCATTAGAAGAACCAGCCCAAATATGACAACAGTATTGCATACAGGAACGAATAAGAAAATTGTAGAGGTAGATAATGGAATCAGAAAAGAGAAAATAGCAAGCACGATAAAAAGAAGCAACCTTAGCAGATGATAATTTAGCAATCAATTGTACATTTAGTTTCCATGAAAGTTGCAGACCATGAATATTAGTAAAAGATATATTAAAACAGTTAGATGGTGGAGATGGTTTTTTATGTTTAACATTCTGGGTTACCTTTAGCATGATTTAAGTTTAAAGAGAACTTGACTCATTCATAGATAGAACACGGCCTTCTAAGCTGTGAGCTATGCAATTTTCTCAGTCCTGTTAATTAACCCAAGTCTTAACATAGGGCTCCCTATGTGGCTTCGACAATGCCTACCAAAAGCATTAGCAGGGATACCATACATGTGCAACACAGAGTTGTTAATACTCTGATATTTTGCAGCTGTTGATGGTATCAGCCTCTCAGAGAGCTACCAGAGAGTTCAGAAACTTTACTAACAGCTAGCCTCAGAACCATTAAACTGAGTTTTAGAGCTGTACCCTCATAAGAGATAACAGGAAGAGTTGCATAGCCACTATCAAGGAGGCACAAGCAAAAATCTATGAGAAGAATCAAGAAGATCCAACATTTGTCATCCTAGGCAGGAAACATTGTAACACAGGATTATCCACGCCAGCCTAATAGATGAAGAAGGTTTAAGGCTGGTTTGCAGAATTATTCTGCTTACCCCTAAAGTCTTTGCTCAGGAGGCCTCCTACAAGACAATTGCTGGATGCAATTAACATCTGCCCAAGGTGAGTATTTTTGTCAAGACACCATCTTTAGCCTTTACTCAACCAAGAGCACCAAGGCAGGGGATATTTACCTAAATACAGTTAACATCTGTTTAGGATCAGTTAACATCTGCTTAGAATGAGTATTTTTAGCAAGACACCATCTCTAGTCTTTACTCAACCAAGATCCCCAAGACAGGGGATTTCTATCAAAAGTATTTATAATAACATTAGGCAATAAATTTTAATCAAAATTAAACATAAATTATGCTGATGCATATTCAAAATTTCAATTACTTTGAGAAGTGAAAAATAAGAATAATTTCTTCTCAATTACTTTGAGAAGAGACTACTTTTATTTTTCTTTCTGACAGAAGCTATAATAAATTATTATGATTTCATAAAAATATATGTAAAATACCTTTTTAAATAATAGAAATTATAATTTTAATTGTTAAAGATTTTATAAAGAGCTAATATGTTTATATATATATATATATATATATATATATATATATATATATATATATATATATATATATATATATATATATATATATATATATATATATATATATATATATATATATATATATATATATATATATATATATATATATATATATATATATATATATATATATATATATATATATATATATATATATATATAGTGAAAACTAAATAATTATTAAGATATATTTCAATTACATAACTAAAAGTTTCACGCAATAGCGATCATCAGATGTAACATCTGCTTAGAATGAGTATTTTTAGCAAGACACCATCTCTAGTCTTTACTCAACCAAGATCCCCAAGACAGGGGATTTCTATCAAAAGTATTTATAATAACATGATTACATCTGATGATCGCTATTGCGTGAAACTTTTAGTTATGTAATTGAAATATATCTTAATAATTATTTAGTTTTTACTATATTATTTGCTCTACTAATTATATAAAACGCTGTATTGAGCACTCTTACTGGAAATATTAACATAATTTCTACAATATATATATATATATATATATATATATATATATATATATATATATATATATATATATATATATATATATATATATGTATATATATATATATATGTATACATATATATATATATATATATAAATATAAATATATATAAATATATATATATATATATTATATTAAAACAAAATATGTATGTATGTGTATAAATATATATATATATATATATATATATATATATATATATATATATATATATATATATATATATATATATATATATATATATATATATACATACATGTATGTATATATGTATACATATATATATATATATATATATATATATATATATATATATATATTTATATATATATATATATATATATATATATATATATATATATATATATTGTTTTTTTGTTAAAAAACTGCATTAAAACCTGGAAAGATTGGAGTTTTATCTTGTATGGAACTCTTCCGTTAAGCAAATAATCTTTTCAAAAGTTTTGCAAATCTTACTTAAAATGTTTTTAAAGTTTGCAGTTTTATTTTTAATATTTAAACAGTACTTTTAATAATTACATTCTTATATATATTTATATATGCTTTTTTACATATACCTATATATGTTGAAATGTATTTATTTTAAGAATATTTTAATATATATTTTAATGCTATTTATAATATATGCTTATTTTAAGAATAATTTGTATATATTTTAATGCTCCTAAAATATATACAAATTTCAAAAAATATTTATACTATTTTTCCGCTCCTTGTTTATTATAATTCATAACTCTATTTCAAAAAATCATTTAATAATATAACACTTTCCAAAACATAATGAGCAATCTATAGTTAATTTAAACTAATTGGCTATTTAATGAAAGGATTTTCTCATTTGATTAAAAACAATTTCCTTCAGTATTGTAATTACATAAATGTACATTTTATAATTGCACAGTATTTAACACAATTAGTAGTGTTTAATAGAATTGCAAATTGTAATATCTAATTTTATAATTTTACTCTAAAATTTATTTTAATTTTATGGTAGTATTTAATAAAATTAGGACAAATTAAAAATTAAAAGATTGTACATTGTAAAAATGTACAATCTATTGTACATTACAAAAATGTACAATGCTTTGATCTCCTGTAAGTGCTACTGTAATAAATAACACTTTTTCCTTTTTTTTTTTTTTTTTTGTCTTCTTTTTCACAAACAACACAGTTTTTCACTATTTTTTATTTCTTTTTTTCTATTCTTTTTCACAAATAAATAGTTTCTAGTAAACTTTTTTTCTTATAAAATTTTATTTTGGGGTAGTTCAAGAACTTTAAACATCAGACAGGTCTCAAATATTACAAAGTTTTAAAAAAAGCAAAATTTTATACAAGTTTATTATAAAAAAATTTATTTCAAAAAATATTATAAATAAAGTTTTTTGTAAAGCGAATGCTTTACAAAAAACGTATCATTAAACTCAGAACGATAACAAAAAAATCATTAAATTCGGAACAATGAAATATAAAATAAATAAATAATTAAACTAATGTAAAAACTTCAATATTTTGGTAGGAAGTTGATGTCTCTCAAATTGTATCATTCTATGGTCTTCTTAGAATTATAACAAGAAGCAAGATCGGGCAAGAACCAAAATGATGAAATTGTGATTTAGATAAAATGGCAAAAGTCTAGCTTGCAAGCATTCCTTGAATTAAACATCAGAGTAAAGTTGACGATGTGAAGAAAGCTAGAGGTCTCAAACTGCAGCTGCATATTCCTTGCCACAAGAGAGGTTTCTTACAAAATTTATCTAATGATTTATAATTAAACTTGTTGCTGACACATCCACAAACTATTGAAGTGTAAAATTTTGGACCTGGGAGCTGTTTGAAGTCATATTTAATGTACGTTTTGTCATTCATAATTATACTGCTATTAAATATTGTAAACACTTTATCATAAAGTTTTTGAGCTTGAGTTTTAGCAGTCATTGATTGCTTATCTGATTAGTTTGGATATTTAATGCGTTAATATTACTTGAAAT